ACTTATAGTCCGTTAACCAAAACATGGTCACATGGCCATACATAGCTGCAAAGGAAGCTAGGAAATGCCCTCTGTTAGCTGACTTCTTGGCTAGACAGCCAATACTGGAGGCCTACCCCTTGGGACAAAAATGTAATGAGTGCTGAGGATACAGCTTGAGGTTTCTCCACAAAGAAAATTTGTAAATTCAAATTTTCTTTTCATCTTGTGACTAATGCTAGATGAAGGTCACAGGAAAAAAGAAAAAATCATCAGACTTGTTAGTCAGTTTATACTTGTAGTACTCATTTCTGCATTTATATATTCAGCAAATTTTTTTGAGTACTTGGAATACCTAATTTAACTGAAAGAGATCTCAGGAGAGATTGAAAAATGCATCAGTTATGTACTAATCAAGATTACTTACTGTCTGGAAAGCATGTACACAATAGACAAAGACATTTAAAAGAGGTCTCCCAGAAAGAAAGAACAACCAAAATACTTCGGCAGCTCAGAATAAGAAGGTTCTTGAGGCTTTGTAGATGAGTTGACTTTTGAACTTGATGTAAAAATATATTTAGGGTTTCATGTGTGAATATGGTAATGGCATCATAGAATTGTAAAAAGAGCACAGATAAGTAAAATAAGTATATTTCATTTCTAGTTTAATTTTTCTTGGTAGAGAGACCCAAGATCATTTAACCTCTCCCATCCTCAATAAACTTGTGCAAAATGACCATTCCTATAGGTCTGCCTCATGGAGGAAATATAAGGTCAGTAGGTAAAAGTACTGTGCAAACCTCCAGTCACTGAGCAAAGTGTAGGTTTTTTTTAACCTTTTTTTTTTAATCTCACACAGTTAATACTCAGAAAATGAATGCTGAAAGAGCAGCATGGACATATATGATCAAGGGAGAGAGATATAGGCAAAGAATAGCAATTCACTGGGTTTGGCTGAACAACAAAGTGTGTGAAGGACAGTGGTAGGAAATAAAGTTTATTTGGAACCCTTAATAGCATACCAAAGAGTTTGGATTTAACTTGACAGGCAGATATCATTGGGAAGTTTTGAGTCTATGGCTCATGAAGATTAATTTTACAGTACTCTGCAGAGAGGATGTGAAGAGATTCTTTCTTAGTTAAAAGCTATTTCAAGTGGAGAGGTAATGAAGGCCTGAAATATGGAAATGGGTGTGTCAATGAAAGGAAGAGCAAATGGAAGGGGTTTTAGAGTAGACTCAATGGAACTCAAAAGGGCTTGCTAGAGAAGGAAGAGCCAAAAAGTACCAGAACATTTTGAGTAGAGATTTCAGGGAGGATAAAGGTGACTTCAATAGAAATTGGACCCAAAATAGGGAGAAAGAAAACTGTTTGTGTGATTAGCAGGGTTGATGTCCCCCTAATGAGATCTAGAACGAAGGTGGTTGTAAAGCTAGACCTGGAGTTCAGGTCAGAACTGAACATTTTAATTTAGAGCATTTCACATTAACAAAATCATTAAGAGTCATAGCTGGGTGAAAGAAATATGACTCAGAAACAGAATGTTAAGGAAGCATTTGAGGGGTGAGTAGAGTTGTAGGTAGAAGTCAAGGAAAACCAAAAACAACAGCAGCTGTTTTTAAGCATGACTTAAATATTGGAGATTAACAGGAAATAATTTTTTTGCAAGTTGAAGTTCTTTATTTGACATCAAGGCCCATAGTCAACCAATATCTTTGGTGAAGGAATCCAGCAATCAAAGTATTTGCTTACTTTCATAAGCTAACTAATTATTCTTGCTTTTCAATAATAAGAGTCCATCCAGTTTATTATATATTAGGTAGTAATACTGAACGGACTGCTATGAAAGCAAGGTAAAATTGAAATAATCCTCCTAATTCAGAAATGTCACCATGGTTGTTGTGAGTATTTTTAAGTGCCTCTGAGGACTAAAGAGATGAATATCTCTCTACTTTGTGCTTGCCACCCTCCACACAGGAAAATTGCTCTTCGTTTCAGTGCTAAAGCTGCTGTGTGCCTGGCCTAACACCACCGGTGACCCAATATTTTGAACTAGTGATGAACCTGTTGAAAAAGAGATATTCTGTTGAGCATTTTATTGTCCCTTCCCAAACTGATTCTTTATCTCTCTGTAGCCATCCCCACCTCCTTCTACTGAGGTGGGAATACAAATTTTAGTACTCAAAGATCAACCCACAACACTGATTAACATGGGAAAACAGAAAGATTACAGAATTTTGGAAGAGATAGGTGCTATAAAGTGAGATGGTTTTAGGCCTTTGAAGACCCTTGTGTGTAGTCAGACATCTGGAAACCGTATGTAAGTCGATTTAAAAATATTCCTCAGCAATATCATGTTAAAATCATATTTCTGATCAGTGTAACAGATAGGTTACAAAATGTTCATGTTTTGTAACCTGAAGATTTACATGAAGAAGAAATAAAGCTCATAAAACTGGTTAAATACCTTCGGAAAGATGATTTAGTTAAAGTATGATTTTGCTAGGAAACGTTTTGAATTTAAGAGCTATAAAAATGTGTCCTCTTATAAACATATATGTTTGAACACACATGTGAGTGCTTTATTTGGTACAGGATTGGAAGGGGACCACCCTGGGTAGGACTGTGCCCACTCTGGGTATCCATTACACAGTGCCCATAATAACAGAGCTGTTCTACATACTAAGAGCCTAAAGAAAAAACACAGCAATGCTTCAGGGCATTAGAGAGGAGGCCTGTAGGGAGACTTAGTATATATTGTTTCTTCTGTGTATTTTCAAAAGTTGGTCCTGACTCATGGCACCCTCCATCTGTGGTATGACTTTAAGGCTATCTGTGAAAGCTAGTATGTCATAAAGAAGATCAGATCATAGAAATTATGTGAACAGCTGAGGAACAAAAACTGTTTTAGCAAATGTTGGTGGACACAATGTGAATGGGAAAGATAAGAACATTCAGTTTGGGTAGACACCATTTGGCAAAGTTGGTAAGGTGTTTTTGATTATTTTTTATTGAAATATAGTTGATATACCATATTATTTTGGTGTAAAGTATACAACATAGTAATTTGACAATTATATACATTACTAAATACCACAGTAACTGTAGTAACCCTCTATCGACATACAAAGATATTACATTATTGACTATATTCCCTTTCATCCCCGTGACTAGGCTATTTTATAATTAGAAGTTTGTACCTTTTTATCCCCTTTGCCTATTTTGCCCATAATTAACTATAACTCTTTCAATGGGATACATAAAATGTTGAATCAGCTGTCAAAGACTGGAACTGAGAAATATAGGTTTTTAATTCCAGCTCTATGGTTTAGGGAAGTCATTTAACTTTTCTGGGCTTTATTCACTTATATTTATTTATATATTTATTTAATAGACATTCATCAATCTTGTACTATGGCCCACCCCTAAGTTTCCTCTTCCATAGACTAAGAAACTTCCATAGACTTCTTTTTGCAGCTCTGATATGTGTCATTTAATAGGAATAACTGCTTAATGAGGAATTCATAAAGAGGAGAAAAATGAGCTACTTTTGAAGGATTAGAAGAATACAGTTTAAATTATGGAAGAAATGTTGATTCAGACCAGGAAAGCAGCAGATACAAAACCATGGGGCCACTCTAAGCCTTCACCAAGAAGAGCCAGAATCTAGGACCCTGAGAACTGGGCCTGAAGATGAAGCATTAGCAAGAGTTGGCAAAGTCAAAAGGGGTGGTACTGACTAATAAGAGACCTTGTGGTGCAGACTGTAAACCTAATACAGAGAACACAGACAGACACCTCTTCAAGTTCAGATGGATCTAACTTGGTCAGTAAAATGACTAGAGAGCATTGGTAGAAAATGGCTTTATTACCAAAAGGGGAAAAGAAAAAGTCTGTGACTAAGTTACTTAATTGGCCTTTATGTATTTCTATGTCATGGTAGCTTGCGCAGACAGGTGCTACTAGGCATTCGGACGGCATGTGAGTTTTTTTATGAAACACAGAAAGATAATGTTACTAATTTCATGTTTTCAGTTCCCAAACGTAACTTTAACAATCTATCCTTTCTTTTTTCCATAGTGTTTCTATTTCTTTTTCTTGTTTTTAAAAAATGCTCCCTGCATGATTTCCCCAACCTCCCTCAGAATGAAAAAATGGAACCACTTCTTTAAGTATCACAAAATATTCCCCATTATTGTAAGTTTGAAAATGCCAGAGAAACGTTAAGTGAAATCCACCGTACTCCTCTTACACAACACATTTGACCTCTAGATATGTTAAGAGCTTCATCCTCCAATGGTTTTAATTCTAATCCTTGCAGAGATGAAATTCATTGCTTTGAATTACAAGAGCAAGTCTCATTAAGGCTGAAAAGCAGTGACCCAGAGAGCATAATGGATTAATATGATGACCTTGCAACTTTAGAGCTTTACTTTCAAATCTGACGGTGAAGTCAAATCGTTTCAATAGTCAATCAGTCAGTTGGTTACTACCAGCTTGAAGTGTTCTGAGTCTGGAGTTAGTAGATCATTTTGGCCAATACTAGGCTTTACTGAATTAAACTGAGAGCCACCGTACACTTAATTCTCAAAACCTTTCTTAAATGATGAGAGTCAAAGAAACAGGTTTCATGAATTGATGGGAATGCTATCATCACTAATAATTATATAATTTTGACACTCCTGTAGCTTCAGTATTTTGAAACTTGCTCCAAAAATACCTATTAATCATGTATGCTTTCATTTCATTAGTAAAGAATGATTTTAAGTATCATTAATTGGGTCTTGAGTAAGGAAATATGATGTTAACTGAATTTTCAAATTCTATTATTTAGTTAACAGCACCTTTGGGATGATATATACTGGTAGGACTGTTCTCATCTGCAGAAGCGGGTAGGGGTGGAAATGTATAAAGTTCAGCAGGACATCCTACAGAATATTTTAAGTCTAAGGAACTTTTCAAAAATTTTTCCAGAAACATGTCTGTGAAAAATTATTCCTATGCACTTTCTTTTTGGGTAGATGCAAGATATACGGAATCCAGAAGGAACTCAATATAGCTCCCATCCTCAGATGGCCATGAGACCACGGGGTCAGCCTGCAGACATCAGGCAGCAGCCAGGCGTGATGCAGCATGGCCAGCTGACCACCATCAACCAATCACAGCTAAGTGCTCAGCTTGGATTGAATATGGGAGGAAGCAGCGTACCCCACAGCTCACCATCTCCACCCGGAAGCAAGTCTGCGACTCCTTCACCATCCAGTTCAGTGCATGAAGATGAAGGTGACGATACCTCTAAGGTATGATGAGATTATTTTTAAGACCAACAGGAAATGCTTGTTGCCTAAAAAAAAGTAGTCTTTGGCACCTTCCTTGACTTATGGTGGCTAAAAGTTTATATCATCCAGATGAGAAATACTGATGGGGGATGTACACTTTTAATGAAGCATGAGGTTATAAATGGAACGGATTAAATCACGTACTTGTCTAAATACATGTTTAACACCCTAGTAAATCCTTTAAATATAGATGTAGTAAGCATACAAGTAGGTTGCACCACAAAATGTCAGGTCTACATATTGAATAAGGGAAAATAAGTCTTGTAGAACTCATCCAAAGTCAAACTTAATTCACCACTGATTCAAAAAGATCTGATTCAGTGGAACCATTTATTTTAAGAAGTCAACACCCCAGGGACATGGTTCTCTTTCAGTGTGTGTGTGGGTGGGTGTGGGTGTGTGTGTTATGGTTAGATGAAACCTTTGAGATCATCTTACCCAAGCATTTCTTAATGAGGATGAGGAAAACAAGTATCAGGTTCTCTATGACTCCCTTACAGAGCAGAAGCCTGGGGGTTCATTGCTCACCTTTGTGAGCCCCATGCCAATATGGTTGGCTGTCTGTGACACCAGTAGTTCTTTTTTTCTCTCTTTCTTTCTTTCTTTCTTTCTTTCTTTCTTTCTTTCTTTCTTTATTTATTTTTTTATTTATTAAGGTATCATTGATGTAGGTCTCACATGAGTAACATTCACCAGTACTTAACCTTTTTGTTGTCAACATAGCTGTCCATCTGTCTGAGCCATATTAAATTATCTGTATAGGAAGACAGGTCGCAAATGTCCTCATATGGGAAAATTAGCTGCAGAAGCATTTAGTTCTTTAAAGGATTCAAGGCTTCTTTAAATGATTGCACAAATTCAATTGCACTCTCCCTTGAAAACACTAAAATCATCTTTTTTCTTGCCTTTATTATCTATCAGTCAAGCAACTTCCACATTTGTCCCAGCAAGAGGATTGTTGTGTCTAGTTGCTGTGAGGAATCCCTACAGTTACAGGAGTAGTTTATATTTCTTCTCAATTTTTTTAAACTTAATAATGAATAGTCACTTGTGTCAACCCTTTGCCAAAATTTTCTATTGAGGAAATATCTTTGAGGTTTCTTTTCACCTTTGCAAGAATTTTCTATTGAGGAAATATCAACATGGTACCAAAGGCAACCCAGTGGGACTGTGATCTATATGGTTAACTTTTCAACAGCTGCACTAATTTTTGGAAGATCCAAATAAAGAGTGACTTGTAGACTTAGTTAGTCTAATGACAAAGACGAGGCAGCTGTATTGACAATATTTTATTATTTTCAGGATTCTTGATGCTCTGGCACTTAGGGCCTTCATTCTAGAAATACTACCCCTTCCAGGGCTAGCAATCCCTAGAGATGGCAAGTGACTCCCTGTGAACACATCTTTGATAAACAAACCAACTAATCCAGAGATCACACTCCAAGCAAATACTCCTCCTGCCCTATATCACCCCTGTGCCAGGTGCCAGACAACTAGGAACCATCCCTATAGCCTAGAGCCCACGAAACTGTCCAGACTATCCAAACCTAAAGTTCCTCAGCATACCTAACGCATTTCACCCATTCCTTCCCACACCAACTCCCACAAAGACTCTGGGCCATGTTCTGCTCTCTCTTAGTCTCCCTCCTGACCAACCATGCATGCTGTGCCACGCCTCCCCCTTTCCAGGGATCTGTCAGCATAAAATGCATGACAGTCATGTCCACGTCTGCCTTCTCACTATCCCTGATTGGAACAATTCCAGGTACATTTCAGAACAGCTGCATAAGTAAACATCATTGACCGTGACGATCCCCTGCCTCCTCATAGTCTCTCCTGTTGTCAGTGAGCCAGTTTCTCATGACGTTAGGGGAAAAGGCAAGAGGAGACTAATTGATACGACATAAATAATTTATTGGGCTAGTAAAAGCCTAACCTCTAGGTGACGATTTGGAGGGCAAAATAATTTTCTTTAGAAAATGTGTTATTCTAACGGTATCTAACAACCAATGAATATCTGGACTTAAATGTGAACACCAAGAATTTGTGGCCAGTGATTTTGCTATTGGATTATGCATGGATAATTCAAGGTAATTTCCTAAACATAGATGATATGAACTATACTGCCAGGGAAGAAAATTAATGTTCTGCTCATAGTAAAGATCAATTTGTGCATCTGGATTATGTCTTTATCAGTTTCATTACAGATATTTCAGGAAATTAATGTAAACTACACATCTTCTGACAGTAAATTTTATGCAGGATTATTCTTACAATAGTATTTTCCATACTCTTCAACTTGTTTGAAGTAGAAAACTGAGTAAAAACCAGAAATTCATAGAATCAACACTAACAGATTCTGCTATTTCCTGTTGACCCATAATTTCCATATCTTATAATTTCACTGAAGCATGAATTTGTATGTTATGAGCTTCCAGGCTAGTGTGAAACTTTGCCAGTGAGTATCCTATCCAATCACTCAATATCCACATCAAAATAATTTATAGCTCTTTATTAATGATTATGTAAGCATTGTTATAGGAGAACTTATATTCTATAGTGGTATATTCTTGAATTCACTATGTATGAAGATTTACAGGTAGATTTCCCAAGAATGCCCCCATGAAAATGACTTTTTCTCTTTACAAATATTCTGAAGTTTGTATTTAGTTTAAGTGTATTTTCCATCTAAAGAAAACTCACCCTCCCATTCCAGCTCTACACACTGTCCTTCACCTTCTCTCCAATTCAAATCTTCCTACCCATTTATTCAACTTATAGTTATTAGATGGCTTAAAAAATTATCTGAAAAAATGCTCAAGCATCCTTCATCACAGATAAAGATTAAACTGGATTTTTTCCTTTATGTATGAGCAGAATTTATGTGGAATGTTGTACTGCAATCGCTCCAGTTAAATGTGAAATAGCATTCAGTCAAAAAGATCATTTAAATAATTTCTAACAAGAGAACTAAAAAAGAATACTTAGTTTCACACCAGAAAAATTAGCATTTAAAGCTCCTCTCTTAACACTTTGTGCTCTCGTAAGCAATTACATATTAATTCCAGTATATCTGATTGAACAATTAAATGAAGTAAGTTTGTTTTGACAGAGAGAAATATTGTAAATACATCAGTAAAATTAATTATCACCCTATAAACACTACCCATGGTTCTGATTGCTATGAAGCTGTGTTGACAGCCTAACATCATAAACTAGACATACAGTAAAACATCAAAGAAATATAAATGTGCATAGCTTATGGTTCTAAGCCTGTAATACAGTACATGTAATACCACAGACACTTTAAGATAGTTCAAGTATCTGGCATTACAAGTATACTTTAAGCACAGTTTTCCCTTTAAGGAAATTATGGGCTAAACTCACAGTATGTATTTTTCCATTCTTTCACTTTCAACTTTACGGCTTAACATATCCTTGAGTTTTATATGTGTCTCCTGTAAAGGGCATATTGTTAGATAATCTTTCACTTTTAAAAGAAACTGACTTCATTTACATTCACCTAAGTACTGAACTATTTGGGTTTCTTTTTCCATTTAAGCATGTTGTCTTCTCAATCCCACATATGTTCTATGTTTCCTCTCTTTCTTATTGTCCTTCAGATTGTTCTTTTTCTCATTCCGTAATTTCCCATTTTAAGATTGGAAATAATATACTCTTCCTCTTCACTTAGTAGCTGCCCTGACACACAAATACATAAAAATGTAACATTCATCAACGTCTTTACCCTTCTTATATCAGTTTAACTCCAAAAACCCTTCTTCCAATTTATATTGGAGCAGCTATTGCTGTTGTTTATTTTAATTATAGTTTAATTAAATTCTGCAATTTAATAAACTCTTTGAAACACTATTTTTACTAATTTGCAGTCCTTTTTCCTTCAGCTTAATTCACATATTTTTATTTTTTTCATCTGACATTGTTTTCACTCTGCATTTAATATTTGCCTTCATGAGGATCTGTTGGGAACATGATTACTTTAAAAAATACTTTGACTTCTTTGTACTATTTTTCTGAAAGTATAAAATTATTTCAAAATAAAATTGTCTTAATAAAGCTCAAAAAAAATACAGTCACTAGGTACAGAATTTTAGGCTGACAGTGATCTTCTGTCATTTTGAAAATGTTCTTTTACTCCAGTGAAACCTGATTTTCATTACTGCTTTGGGGAATTCTCCTGCTTCACTGTTTTTCCTTCTAAAGCAATCTGCCTTTCCTCTCTAGATAGTTTTAAGGTCTTTTCTTGCTTGTGGTGTCCTGCAGCTTCATTGTAATATATCTGTGTCTTTAAAAATGTTGCCTGAATTTATACACTGCTGTTTTTCATCAGTTCCAGGAAATTTTCAGCCATTATTATTTTCCAAATTATTTCCTCTACCCTATTCTTGCTCTTCTTTTGTTCCACAAGTCCAATAAGATATATGTTAAACTTGCTCCTCCATGATACTTTTCTTTCATATTTTCCATTTTCTCACCTATTACACCCTGAATAATTTATATGTATGAATTAATAAGTATAAATCCCCAGATTATAATTCTCTTTATAGCTATATGTAGTTTGAAATTAAAGCTGATCTATTGAGGTTTTAATTTTAATTATTTTGTATTTCCAGTTGTATTTGGTTCTTTCTCAAATCTGTTTGAATTTTGTTGTTGTTGCTTGCTGTTTACCCATATATTTAATCTCTTTTATTCCTTTAACCACTTGCTGATTCCAGTGCATGAAATCTTTAAGGTCTGTTTCTATTATCCATTGTTGGTTTAATGCCTTGTTTCATTTTGCTATTTTGCTTTTGGAATAAGAGCTGATAATTATTAGCACTTTATAAGAATTTTTTTACCAGACCTGGTTTGAAAGTGGATTCCTCTAAAGATGGTATGTGTTTGCTTCTGCCAAGCATCTTGGACCATGACAATTTTGAACCACTACTGGCTTGAAG